CAAAAATGCAGCCGGGCTGTGCTTAAGACGGGAACGTATGTACAGCACGGTGCCCATGCATTTGAAAGTTTAAAGGTTCTGAGTTTGCCGGCCACTCTTAGGTCAAAATCGCAGCCTGCTTGTGGCAGAAGAATCCAAAGCGTATCAAGAAGCTCATCACATATCACCGACGTGACTGGTCTTAGTCTTGTATGCTGTATGTCATGTGTTTGTGTGCGAAGGACTGAGGCCCTAGAGGCTTTAGGGTGTGCCACATGTCAGGAATTGCAGAACGAAGCAAGCCGGGGCAAAAGATGTTGGGTGGTGTGGCTTTTCTGACCGCCCTTTGCTCGCACAAGACAGAGATCAGAAATGTTCTTCAGGGGCTCATTGGCACTTGTGTCTCTAGGGGTTGATCCGCTCAGGAGCGGTTGGACGAGCTCTGTGACAAGCTCGAAGTGGGGCCGGAAGGTCCAGGACGACCTTGTCGCTTTCACGAAAAGCGGAAACGGCAGGAGCAATGAGCGAGGTGCCAATGGAGGCTGATGATTCGGACTCGCAGTCCCAGCCCTTTGCTGGTGTTTTTGGCTAGATTGTGGGTTGCTGCCGTGGAGTCTCCCAGGACAACTAATTAGCAGTAGCCGTAGCTCGGACAGGCTGTTGGAAATAATAGGCGTTTCCGACGGATATGGGGGGCTCTTGACATGACAATGTCAATATGGGCAGCAGGGGCTTGCCAGGCGTGCGGTGCAAAGCATTGCATGGCTACTGGCTTGGGCATTGTGTGAGATCATGAATGTCCAGTTGTTTTTTCTTTTGGTCCATGTTTCCTGTGCTTCCTGCAGCAAGTCCTAAGCATTGCGGCGAGTCCATAAGAAGGCTCAAGATCGCAAAATCCGTCAGTCAAGGCTGGGATTGAAGCATGCGAGCGAGGGGCAGGATGCAGCAAAGATACGATTCAGAATAAGTTCTTAGACGTATGTGGGTCCCGAAAGCTGCTCCTTCCGAAGCAGATCCAGTGGTCGCTGCATCACGATTGCGATTGAACTCCAAGCCGAGCGAGAAAAAGTGCAAACGGTGAGCCCAGCCCAAGTGGCAAAGCAATTGCGGTGAGACCTCTCCAGGAAGGGTTTTTGCGGGTTCAGGGTTTCGGGTGTAGGCAGGGCTTTAGGGGTTCACTTTCTTTTTAAACGTGTTGCAGAGTTTCTAAGCTGGAAGGGCTTTGCCCCAGGAAGGGTTTTTGCGGGTTCAGGATTTCGGGTGTAGGGCTTTCGGGGTTAACTTTCTTTTTAAACGTGTTCTAGAGTTTCTAAGCTGGAAGGGCTTTCCAGGGGTTTCAGAATCGTTCCGCCTTTGCCCCAGTCCCGAACGAGCCATCTTCAAAATGTTCCTGGGCCAAGGACAGCAACCCACAACCCGAAACACTGAACCGCGAAGACCCTGAACCACTGATGCCAGCGAAGAGAAAACTTGGAATGTCGAACCCCGGCATCCCTCTGACGACCGAGGTCGAGGTCCCGACGTCGACACGACTCTCGCCGGGACATGCATGCGGCCCAGCCGTCTTTCTTGTCGTTTTGGGTGTCCAGAATCAGCGAGGAACTCCTTAGGGTTTCTGAGACGTGAGGGGTTTGGGATGTACTCTTGTATTAGCCAGTTGTATCCACTGCTGACTTTTTCGAAAGCCTGTTGATTTGGTCTGTGGATTTTGATCTGATCTGAGCAATGTTTCGAAGAACTCTCCACAGTGCTTTCGTGCCCAGGTCCTGGCCTGCCAAGTGGTGCCTGAGTCATGGACGGTAAAAAAAGAGCGATCGATGGCGCCCGAAGGTCGTCGCATCGGAACATCCTGTGTCCGAGTGTGCTATTCGTCAAAACTTAGCCCCGAAAACTCCAACGGCAAGCCCAGACCTCTAGGTCCCGCAGCTAGAATGGAACCAACCCCCGTAGGAATCCTTCAATCTAGAACATCCGAGACAAAGCCCCTACACCCTTCATCGCCTGCTTGTGTAGTAAGTTCTCCAAAGCTTGAGCCGAAGTGGCCCACCCTTGCCCGGAGCCAGAGCCTCGAAACCCAAAAGCAAAAGCCTTCAAGATTGCAAGACTTAGTTCTAGTTCTTGCTTTCAAGTTGTTCCTAGTTTAAGGCGTATCTGGTAGATTCGTAGATTCGCGAGCCCAAGAGGAGCCTCTCGCTTGACCAGACGAGTTGCAAAAACTAGTTTTTGCCAATAAAACCAGTTTTTGCATGCTGTAGCTGCTCCTTGAGTGTTGGGCGATTTTAATCAGTATGCCAACTAGTCAGTCGTCTTGAAAGAAGCAGAGTGGCTGTGCAGAAACCAGTTTTTTCGGAAGAAACTGGTTTCTGGGAGTAAAACTGGTTTCTGGGAGAAAAACCAGTTTTGGGTTGATACTGGCACTGGTTGTCTGTTCAGGTATTTAAATCATGCTTTAATTAGACTACTATACAGTGGGTATGAGTACTAGATCTTGACAAGACAAAGAACCCGTTCTTAGAACTCGGTGGCCCCGGTTCCTAGAACCCTTCTCGGAAGTTGCTGTCTCTTCTCTAGTCTAGTAGGACAGGCAGGCTCTGAGAAGGCGTCCGGGGCTTCTCAGAACCCCCTTCTTAGAACCCTGTGCCCCTTCGATCAGAAGCCCCTGCAACCATCGCGGAGAACGGGTCCTCACATTCGCTGTCTGTGCTCTCTTGGAACGAATCCGGGGCCTGGGCCGTGAGATCTGAGAAGCTCCAGTATTTATGGATCAAATTCCGCCCAAGGCAGTGCCGGATAATCAAATGCCCCAGGGTTTAGGGTTTAGGGGTTTAGGGTTTAGGGGTTTAGGATTTAGGGTTTAGGGTTTTAGGGGTTTTAGGGGTTTAGGGTTTAGGGTTCCCTAAACCCTAAACCCGTAAAACCCTAAACCCTAAACCCCAAACCCTAAACCCCTAAACCCTAGCAGAGTGCGAAGTGGATTTCCAGCTTGGTGAAAACGAAGACATTTCATTGAGTCGCTTTGCAGACAGTTAGAAGTGTTGTTGTCCCAGACTTACTAGAAGAGTTGATGACGACCCAGTCTTCGGCAAGGTGATAGTACGAGCCCTTTAGGAAGCCCTTGCCGTCACCCAGCATCGCTGTGTGTGTTGTTTTGGAAACAATCGGTGCCCAGAGTGCTAAGCCGAGAACAGAAAGCCCTTTGCAGTCTCGAGTTGCAGGAGGAGCAGTGGAAAACAGTCCAGTCGAATGGCATGTAGCGATTTTCGCGGAGGGAGAGATACTGCAACAGCTAGAGTTTGTGAGGGAAACAGCAAAACAGCCAAACTTTGCCAGATCTAGAGCAGGGAGACCTCCTTAGCCCTGGCCAACTTCAAGCTGCTTCTTGTGTCGATGGCCGTGCCGGCACATCCGGCTGAATCTGGGGCGAAGTGTGTTGCTTCCTGTGTAGATGACCGGGCCACCACATCCGGCTGAAGCTGGTGCGAACTGCAGTGAGGCAGATCACGAGGGACAGCATCGTTTGCTTCCTGCAACAGACAGGGAGGGAAATGCTTGCCAGGTGCTCCTGAATGAGAAATCCGGAGAGAAGGTGTTTCTGGAAGGCCGAAGACACCAGCTTTTTTTCCACAACCACCGTGCTTTCCTGCAAGAAAGGAATTCCGAGGGCATCGTGCAGAATGCGAAGTGGATCTCCAGCTTGATGACAAGCTCCGTGTGGACAACGGTCGAGGGCAAAGAATTCTCGTACGAGAAGCATGCAGACGGCTGGAGGACCAGATGGCTTTCGGAGCTTGCTGTTCAGAAGGCACTCACGACTGTGCCTCTTCAGGTGGGCGGGCCGGGTGGTGGCATCGTACAGCTCAGTACTTGGGAGTTCCGCTGTGTGGCTGCAAATCGGTGCGGCCGCCACTTCATCGAGGTTGCCCCCATCCTTTCCGGCATCCAGTGGGGGCACTCACGAGAAGAGCTCTCGAAGCGTTGGCAGAAGAAGTGGAAGCCGATGTTCTTGCGGAAACATCTAGACGAGAGCCACTTTCTGCTCCCGTACCGGAGCAAGGCTGCAGCAGCATCGAGCCAGGAAGGCCGTTGCAGCGATGATATGGCCTTCTCTTTGCCAGCATCGCTCATGCTTCTAGTGCACCTCGCGAATCAGAAGGAGCAAGGTGAAGCCCTCTTGAAGAGTTTCCTGACCACCTTTCTGGAACCCTGTCAGGTGACATTACAGGCTGCAGGCGAGAGTGTGATGCTGAGCTTCTTGGCTGATGCTCGCATGGATCTCGAACCTCTTCGGGGAAAAGCGTGGAGAAGCCAGAGGGAATGGAGGCTGCCGGCGAATCTCTTGTCAGCAGATGCCGACGTGGTCTCTTTGCTTCGCTGTTTGGACTGCACGACTTCTTCCCGTTTGTTTCTTGCTTTGCTGGCTAGCTTGGCGAACGGGATAGCTGAACAGTGGCTGGTGCATGTTCCGCACGACAGCATGGGCACTGGCCATGGGCGATTCATAGCCGCTCGCCTGCGGCAGCAGACAGCCGAATGCCAGGCTGCGGCTGAAGCCTTGAAAAGGCCCAGATCTACGGAGGAGGTGGAAGCCTCTGCCAGTGCTGCCAAGAGCACTCGGAGAGACCCGAATTCCGAGACGAGTCGCCAGTTGCAGAATGATCGTTACCACTACTTTCTTGCAAGTCGCCGAGCTTTCCATGACAGCAAGCAGATGTGCATCGTGGATGACGACACAAATATTGGATCGCGTAATCGAACACAGTCCTTGCTCATGAACCTGTCCACAGGTGAATGTGCGTGGGGCCCCCCGTTGGTGACTCTGCTTACAAAAGCATGTTTCTTCTTATTCCAACTGGATTCTGAGCTTGCGGAAACCCTAAACTTTCCGAAACCTTAAACCTTTTAACTCTGATTCGCAGGAAAAGATCGATCAGCATTTTCGGCCAGAAGATCCCGGCGAGAACACAAGCGCGGTGGAGAGGGCTTCATGGCGAGAGGCAGCCAAGCAGTGGGTGGACTTCAACATGGACGGCAAGTCCCCGGGTGCGGCGGCGAAGGGCACACAGAAGAAGTACTACCGGCTCGCCACGAAGCATCACTTGTCGTGCCTGGACATCCTTTTGCAAACGGCCACGGGTTCAGGGCTCAGCCAATTCGTGCCCGCAGATCGTTTGGAGGCCTTGAGAGAGGCTCCCGTTTCGGGTTGATCTGGAGTCTTTCTTACTGCCTTCGCGTCTCACACATTCTTGAGTTAAGAACTGAGGGTCGTTCATATGTGCAGGCAGAGGAAGCCGCCAAGAGTCATGACCTGGTGAAGAAGCAGAAGCGAAAACGACAAAGATCGGAGATGCCGGCGGCAGAGTCGGGTGGGGCAGCAAGCCTGGCCGGATTTCGGTATCTTGTCCACGTGGAAGACTCTTCATCAGTCAACACGTCCAGCATGATGTTCATTTTGAACCACTTGCGGGCACAGTACGTCTGGTTCCCGGATCCATTTCACATGATCCACAACGTGGGGCTTAACGGGTTGAAGGAAGCCGGCATGTACGGAGCCGTGCTGCTCAGCTCTGCTGCCATGGATGCTGCTTGGGGTCCTTGGCACACGGAAAAGTGGTTCAGGGTGGTGCAGGACTCCGTGAAGGAATACATCATGCACATGCAAGACAACGACCCTCTGATCCAAGCCGTCCTGCCTCGGGTTTGCAAAGACAAAAACTGGGACCTACACGATATTCCGAACCCTCAAGAAGCGGTTTTGGAGAGTTTGCGGGGTGCCAGCTTTCTCCGACGGAAAGGAGACAGGGCACAGGTCTCCAGATGGTTTGTTTGGCACAAAAGGATTGCTGCATGGATGGGGGAGAGCGATCCAGCATGGCAGGCGGTGGAGCCGAACTTCATCGTGGATGCATCGGCTGAGTGGAGTCTCCGGCTCATTCCACTCGTGTATGCCGGCTTGCAGCTGGGCTACGTGAAGTCAACAGAGGGATCCAAGAAGGTGCTGGAGCCTTTGTCTGCAGGCGAGCCGGCGAAGGATGAAGAGGCGGCAGGTGCTGAGCCTTTGAGGACGGTCAAAGAGCAGCAAGATCGAATCCGATCCAAGTGTAAGAACAACTTACACGTCGCCACAGCACCTTGGTCCGTGTTTGGTCTTGTGAGGTTTTTAGACATCGGTCCGGCCAAGATTTGTGACAAACTTGTCTTTGTCACATGAAGGCTCCTTGCCAAGAGCCTGGCGTGTGCGAGAAACGAAAGGTTAGAATAAAGATAGGAGACAGTGAAAGGATGCCTATTTTGGTTTTGCATAGTTTGTTACCCTACCCATATGTAGCATGTTAAAGTGAAGAGAAGGGTGACAAGGGATTGGGTTCGAGTGGACATGTGAGTTATGTTGCTTGCAGAGCAGCGAAGGTCATCCACGGAGATGCCAGTGTTCGAGCTGATGCCCTGGCCGTGTTGTATGTCGAGAGGGAGCTTGGTCGGTTCTACAGCCAGACACGAGAGGCTTTGAAGAGCCGGCAGGCCTGCTTCGAGTTCTACTTGGGTATGGCCAACGGAAAGGGTCTGGATCACATCTTGAAGATTGGCGGCGACTTGAGCTTCAGAGAGCTCAGCAAGATGGGAATCATGACCGAAGAGATGTACAGCGATTGCAACTTGAGGAAGATTACTTCCATGGATCCTCAGCTTTTCCTGCAGGATCACATGATGCATCGACTGTTCAACCTCCGGTTCTGTGTTCAGAAGCATCGTCTGCACGGTCTCGCCCTTTTCATGTTTGCGTTGCCGTACAAGCTGGTGAGGCTGGCCTCTGGAGACTCCGAGGACCGGTTTACTTGAAACCCTAAACCCTAAAGATTGTGTCCTTGTGATTTGTGTTCAGTCTTTCACAATACACAGCATGTCTCTGCAGGCGGTTTCTCCTTTCCTGTAGTCGTGCTGATTCACAGGAGCAAGAGCTCGTGCGAACGGACCTCGTTCACCTCATGAAATGCTGGAGCCGTGTGGAGAGTCGAGCGGAGCCTTTCTGGAAAAAACTTTCGGAAAGGACTTGTCTGATGTGGACACTAGTCAGGGTCATCTTGGATCGGATCCAGCAGGACGGAGGACACGTCGGTGCGGATGTGCGAGCTTTGATCGGGAATATGTTTTCGCACGTAGGTCATAGTGCTGTCATAGAGGATGCTTTTCAGCGGATGAGAAGGCAGGAAACTCTGACGGAGGCAGGGTCCAACGTGTCGTCTTGTCGCTTGTGGAAAGTGGCCACAGATAGCAAGCTGCTCGCCGAAACGTACAACTTCAGGGAGGTAGCCGCGGCGGATATCCCCGAGGAAAGGTTTGAATCTCTGCCACCGAACTTTTTCGTGCCAAGGCAAAAGGACTGCTCTGTGCCACTTCGAAATGTTGCAACTCTCTCCAGCACACCGGATTGGATTTCGTTTGCCCCTCCGTTTTTGCAGTACTCCGAGGACATTGCTTTGATAACTCATTTGCACACAGTGCCTGAGCTGGCATCGTGTGTTTGGAGAAGCATCTTCATGCCAAAGAATTGCATTGTCAAGAATAAGAAACTCCCGGACAAGGAGAAATGCTACCTGAACTTCGGCACCTCCACTGCAGGCTACTGCTGTATCCTGTGGCCCCTGCAGAAGCAAGTGCGACATTTCTTGAGAAAGAGTTCGACATTCTTCACATTGGAGAAAATCAGTGATCCCAAAAGCCTGCTGTGGCTGCCGGTGACAGATTTCAGCGATTGGACAGTAATCCCCAGCATGTACCCCAGTCCTCTGCAGACCTTCTACTTAAACAAGAATGAAGCTCCCCGACCACCCGTCCAACCAGGGGCGATGATGCAATGTGACAAGGAGGTGCCACTCCTGAAGCATTGTGCTTTGACGTGTTTCGACAACATCAACCTTACTCTGCTGAAGAAGCTGTGCAAGGATCGCTTCTGTGTTGTAGCACCGTATTCGCGTAGAAAGACGAGAGAAGTCTAGGCAAAAAGCTTGAGAGCAACTAACTAAATTCCAAACATCCAGCCCGTCTCGCCAGGACGACCTCGGCTTCACGGCTGAAGCTGGCATCTCCCGTGTTGCACTGGCGATGCAGGCCATCGAGAAAATCTTGAAAGTGAGCACAGACAAAGCAGCAGACATCATGCAGCAATCAGTTGCAGGGTCAGTGCCGGAGCCTCACCATGAACTCTTGGACTGCGAGGCTTTCGTGGATTGTGTGCACAAAGACGATCTGGACGACGTCAGAAGCCACATAGATCAAAAACAGAAGCTGCAGCGAGAGGTCTTTGACACATGCAGAGAAGCCCGGGAAATCAAGATCAAGAAGTCCAAGAAGCCTGCAACAAAGAGGGCACGGGAGCCCACCTCTTTCAAGTCTCGAGAGGACTGGACTGCAGAGCAAGCTGTGGTGTTTGCCCCGCCAGAGACCCGGTTCTACAAGGACCATTGGAATGGCAGATGGATCATGTTCTGCGGGGAGGGGCCAATCAGTTCTCGATTTTGCCGAAGCAGATCTTGGGGTGCAACGGGGAGCGACACCATATGCATCCGTGATTTACTGCGGAAGGCGTGGGAGAGATGGACGGCTCTCACAGGCGAGGAGTGCTGGGTGAATTTTGACGATTTCTGATTTCTGATGCTTCGAAATCCTCGCAGCCACATTGTGGCTGTGTGCCCTTGTCACAAGAGCACGTGTGCGATCACGTGCCGTGAGTTGCAACTTGGCCGTGTGTGTTGCTGGGCAAAGGCAAATTCCTTGGGCGTCGGATAGGAAGTTAGGTGCAAAGCCTGCATAGTTGTGAGTCTTGCTGCTTGCATTTGCCAGGGCATTGCATTGTATCGAGGACTCGAGTCGTAGCGAAGTCAGTTCTAGGGCACTCCGCCTCGTTCCTCAAGCATGGTGGCCAAAAGCACTCCCAAGACCCGCCAGTGCAAGACGACCAAGAAAGCTCCGGAGCAAATCCACAAGGAAAAGGTGGGCAAGATGGAGGAAAGGATCCATCTCCAGAATGAGAGTGCAGCACAGCTCATCCAGAGTCGCAACTTGGAGAAGATCATGAGTGTGATGAAAGAAAGGCCTAAGGTGGCCAAACACGTCTTGAACCTCATCGAGATTGGTGCGTTTGACAACTTGGAGAAGCAGGGTGCGGCCGAGGA